CTCAAATGGTAGAGTGCTAGCATAGCACCCAGGTCCAGGCCCCACAAACAACAAAAAAAAATCTATTTCAATAATTTAAGAGGTAATAATATAGGAGGGAAAGACAGGAGGTTGGTACTGTGCATCAGTTTGACCTATAACAAAAGACATCAAGGGAAGAAGGAAAGGCTTATGAAAGAGCAGAGCAAACTTGAATTTGGAAATCATTATTTCATATTCCTTTTTGTTGATAAAACAGTCTAAACTTGGAAAGTTTTAACATAGAGTCACCATTGAAGACTACCAGATAATTTTGTATTGGAAGAGAGAAGAGCAATGACTAAATTGTAAATTTCAGTGCTTTATAAGGTGCCTTGAGTCGACTTTTGTATTATAGGGGTTTGTTACAATACAGCTAAGATATCCACTTAACAGTTTATAGAAATTTCATGTATCAATCAACATTCTTAGGATATTCCTACATATCCTTTAGATTGAATAAACTCCTGTGAAACTTTTCCTCTCCCCTACAATGGTGCATAATATAAACATGCTGTGAAAAAAAAAAAAAAAGAAAGAGCAGAGCATAGAGAAGCCAAGGAAGTGGAGGTCTCTGTGGAAGTCTTACTCTTTGTCTAATAGTATACTCTACGCTTTGGATAAAGATTTCCAAGCTGGGTGCTGGTAGCTCATGCCTATAAATCCTAGCTACTCAGGAGACTGAGATCCAGCTCCAGCAGGAAAGTTCATGAGACTCTTATCTCCACTTAACTACCAGACAACCAGAAGTGGTGCACTGTGGCTCAAAATGGTAGAGCACCATCCTTGAGCAAAACAGCTCAGGGACAGTGTCCAGACCCTGAGTTTATGCCTCCCCCCTCAAAAAAAAAAAATTCCAGTGACATTTCCTCAGATAAAGTATTGGCATGGATTTGATAAGATTTAACCTCTTTATCAAAGTTTACCACTTGCTGAAAGGCTCTCATATTTAGACTTTTGTAAATATTTCATTTAGAGTATTTTGTAGGGCTGGAATGTAACTTAGTGATAGAGCTATTACCACTCTTGAGCCACAGCAGAGTGTTAAAAAAAAAATGTTAACCTAGCCGTAATAGTTCACACCTGTAATGCTACTCAGAAGGCTGAGATCTGAGAATCACAATTCAAAGCCAGCCAGAGCAGGAAAGGCCATGAGATTCTTATTTTCCCCAGCAAAAAGTTGGAAATGGAGCTGAGACTCAAGTAATAGAGTGCCAGCCTTGAGGGAAAAAAAAGAAAAAAAGGCTTAGAGATAGTGTTAGACCTATAAGCCCCAGTGCCAGCACAGAAAAAAAGAGAGAGAAAAAAGAGAAAGAAAGAAAGATGGAAAGAAGAAAGAGAAAAAGGAAGGCAGGAGAATAATTATTTTAGCTCAGCCCTGATTTCAAGGGTCAGTACTCAAAAAGAAAAGGGCTGAGCCTATAATCCTAGCTAACTCAGGAGGCTGAGATTTGAGGATCATGGTTCAAAGCCAGCCTGGGCAGGAAAGTCCATGAGACTC